CTTACACGAAATAGAGTGAATACATCTCATTACACTGATTTACTGGTAGTCTCGAAACCCTACTCTAATAGGAACATGAAACTTACTCATAGGTTTTAGCCTCGAATTAATCACCCAGACACAGGGGTAGGGCGTATAAAGCCTCGAGCAACAAAGATGGGGTTGCAGGGGTCGAATGAAATATGTGAATCAGGAAGAGAGTAGACGAATCTTACAGGGCAAAAGAGAGCCTGTGATAAGACATAGGGAAGGAGGACTGCGTAACAATATGGCAGACTCTGATCAACATTACCAGCACAAGGGTGAAGGGGGTGAGGACGACAGCGTGGAGTGTGAATGGTTTTCATGAAAGCCGCTCAAAGGAGCACACCACACTACATCGAAATAGGCACAGTAAAAAATTGTGACAGTGAAGGTGTGATAGGAGGATATATGAAATGTGAATAGCCCAGGACAGAAGGGAGGATACAACAACTGTTTAGCACACGTTTGGTCAAAGGATCGGATTCACTTGTCTATTTGACGAGCTGTAATATGGTGCTACGAATGGCGATACTCACTGACGATGCCGGCGAAACGTTTGGGAATGTACCACGTCCACGGTCCTACTCTGGAAACGATGATGCATACAATGGACTCCGGACTAGGTGCGTCTGTGAATGTACCACGTCCACGGTCCGACTTTGGAAATAATTATGCATACAATGGACTCAGGACAAGGTGCGTTCCTCTAGGTCTTCCAAACAATATGATCGAGTTGCCAAAACAAGGTCAAATAAACCAGGAATGCTCTTGGAAATGATAGTGCGAACAAAACTCGTTTTCTTGCAATGAGATGTACCTGGTGGATTTCTCCCCTTTCGCACAAAATGAAGGTCATGACAACAACGCTTGGATATCAGCCCACATTTTAGGTCCCGTCCACAATGCTCCCGCATTGGGGCCTTGGTAACTCTGTGCTCAGGTGTGCATGGACGCGTAGACCAGTTATTCACATGTCAACTTGACTTGGTGAACTCCGTCTTGTTCATCTTCTCAGATGACTGCAGCACATGCAGTTCTTTTGTCTGTAGCAGCCTGGCTGATGCAGATCGATCCTGTAATCACAACATTTTCAGGACATTGTTTCCGCTGCGTCGGCTCGTTGTATCCGTTTGTTTTCCGCCATTCGCCGTCTCTCTCTCTCTCTCTCTCTCTCTCTCTCCTCTCCTACCCCTCGTGACATCCGCCTCTCTGTCTCCTCGCCCCGAAGGCCAGCCGAGCGAAGCAGTGCGAGACCACCCATCCGATGTAATTGCGTCTTCACTTCTTTGCAGACTTTCGTTACAGAAAGCTCAAGTGACAGAGGACTTGAGCTTTGTGCTGCCTGAAGCACCACAAGCCAGGCCAGTCCGACTCGGCAGTCACTTTGTCCAGACAGGCAGATTCGCCAGGATTAGCCTGTGCTCGCCGGTCCCCGCCATGGCAGAGCGTCTCAGTCTCTCGCCCAGAAACTGGCTGACTGCGGTTGGGGTTGCCAGGCTCTTGCGCATTTCACTTCGCCGCATGAGTAGAAGCCTGGCGTACGAATGCAAACATGTATTGTCAAGTTCTAAAATTAGACCTTACAGACGCATAGTGTAGGCTGGGCCACGTGCCTGTGAGGGTGTGTAGTCGGTGGGCTTCGGATTAACGCGATCATCATACCAGTCCATTGGGCTGCTTGCATAATCGTGTTGAGCTCACTTCCAGTTCGAGTGAAAGTGCATGATGATGACGGCCTTTCGAGGTTGGATCCAACCAGGAGACAAGGCGGATTCCTCTCGGCGCCAGCTGTAGTTGGGACTTTCTTGTGAGGCGATCTTCTCTGATTATGGGTTATCTTTCCTACAACCATTTTCAGGATAACCAGTCACAAAGTTCTGGCAGGCTTATCTCTACATTCTATGAATAAAGCCTAAATCTATGCATTTTTATGAGGAAGGCTGATCTGGTTATCTGTCATTGTCAATCTAAAAGCACGTGTCTGTGAAGGTTTGTCTGTTCCTGCGTGCGCTCATGTATACGCGAAGGAGGGAAGAAAACAGTGATCGTTTTTCGCTTTTTA